CATAAGGCTCAAAGGAGTAGGGCGACAGCCCCATATACCAGAGGTGGTGGGTTCAAACCCGGCCCCCGGCCAAAACTGCAAAAAAACCTCCAAAACTAAGAGGTATGTTCTAGCACTTTTCCAATTTCCTATATTACAGTTCAAAGTGAGAATTTAACTTTGAAAAGCTTTTGAAGAGGCTTGGATGTGGGTGTGAACATAGTCTCCTTAACCAAACAGGCACTGATAGAGGTCTTTTGAGGAGAAACCAAAGGACTACTCACTTCTGGGGCGTCACTATAGGAACCTATTTATAAAAGACAAGTATACATATTTATGAAATCTTTATCTCTAGCATTTTTTAAATGCAAGAGATATTAAGTGCAAGTTGAGTGAGATACATTTCCTGCTGACTTCTTTTTCAGACAGATACAGATGAGTACCATGCCGTCATCTTTGCTAAATGGCATCATTTAGTGTTGACTTCAATAAAATCCCATCTTTGCTGTGTCATGAAAGGAACTGGACTCACCTTAGCAGTGCCATTCTAAAATGCCTGCTGCCTTTTTTTGATCACAGCAGGAGGCTGTAATAAATTACAGCCTGGAAGAAGTTTCAAACTGGCAAGTTTGTCAGATATTTTAAGCAATTTATTTTGGGGTGTATCAGCAGATTTTTTCTTACACTGCCATTTGGGTGCCTGCTGACACAGCATGAATAAATCTTTCAAACATTTTCCTTCCTAGAGATGGGTGAATAAGATGAACTCCCAATATTCAGACCTTCCGTTAACTCTTCACTTGCCACCTGGGTCCCTCCTATTACCAGATTTCTAGAAAACTTAGATTATCTTTTTCCAACGTGAGTTTACAGTATTTCAAGTCCCTCAGTGCCTTGGCAATAGCTTTTAAATTTTATGGAAGAATCAACTAACAAAAGAGTGATTCTGGTTTTAGGCACAGAATTTGTAGCTTAGATTGATTATCATTTCACCACTAGTATTTTCAAAATCATCAAACTTCATAAAAGGAAAAAGAGCCTAAAAATTTATAGAAAACAAAGACTTTTTTTCTTGGTTCTAGCAAGTTAAGTTTTAAAGTGACTTCTTC